CAAATGGCAGTGTCTCTATGCATCATACAACTGATTAAGGGCTGATACCCAAAACACATGAAGAACTTATACAACTCAAGAGCAAAAAAACCCCTAACAACCTGATTTAATGGGCACAGGAACTGGCCAGTGTTCCAGAGAAGACACACAGATGGCCAACAGGTAACATGAAATCTCTCATCATCAGGGAAATGCAAATCAAAATCACAATCAGATGTCACTTCACATCTGTCACCAAAAAGACAAGAGTTAAGTGTTGGTAAGTCAACAGAAGCTAATCAGGTACCTGCTAATATCCAGAGGGAGGGACCCTCAGATCTCCAAAAGTAAGAGATCAAGGTAGATCAATCCGGGGCTATAAAGTAAACTAGTGGCACAATACCTTAGTAAGCACCATCTAAACATTTATTTAAAGCAACTTAAAAGCCACTGTTTAAGAAACTTTTAGACTTTTCTAAAAACTAAACAAAAATTTTTTAAAGTTACATAATTATGCATCATAAAAATATTAGAACACAAATAAAGTAAAAGGAAATAAAAACAGTACAAATCAATGAAACAGAAAACAGGACTATCAAAAACCAAATAAAGCAAAAATTCATTCTTTGGAAAGATTAACATAATTAGAGAAACATCAGGCAAATACATACAAGGTGGGGCAAAAGTAAGTTTACTGTTGTTTGTATGGAAAAGAATACAGTAATTAATAAATAATAATGTAAGAATAAACTGTGTGTGATACAACTGTAAACCTATTTTTTGCCCCATCCTGTATTACGGATACAGATATAGCCAGGATATAAATATAATAAAATACTAACAACACTGTACCACTGTATAAAAAAATTGAAAATGTGGAGACAAAATGGACTAATCCTAAAAAAAAAAAAAAAAAAATTACCATTAAGAAATAATGGAAAGCTTGAATAGACCTACAATTAAAGAAACTGGATGGTTTTTTTAAAAATCTCCCAACAAAATACCACAGAACAAATCAATCCACTTTTTTTTAAAGGTTTTATTTACTTTTAGAGAGAGAGGAAGGGAGAGAAACACCTATCGGTTGCCTCTCACATGCGCCCTGACGGGGGACAGAACCGGCAACCCAAGCATGTGCCCTGACCTGGAATCCAAAGGGGCAACCTTTCGCTTTGTGGGATGACGCCCCACTGAGCCACATGTCAGGGCAAATCAATCCACTTTTGAAAAAAACATTAAAATTTTATTATAGAGATACATATTCCCATAACGTTAAGGTTCACCCTTACAGCGTAAAGAGCAGTGGTTTTTAGTCACTGGGTTGGCCAAAAAGTTCTTTTGTTTTTTCCCTTAAGATGGCTCTAGTAGTGGTTTTCTTTAACTCCATTTGAAACATATTTGTTACACTGTATTGTAACAGCTGTCATTATCAGCCTGTAATTTTTTAAAAAACTTACCAAAATTGGTGGATTTTTGTGTAGATGTTTTAATATTGAAGATGGAAGAAAATACACATTTTCAGTGTATCATGCTTTATTATTTCAAGAAAGGGAAAAATACAACTGAAACACAAAGAGAGATGTGTGCAGTGTATGGTGAAGGTGCTGTGGCTGAGCAAAAGTGGTTTGCGATGTTTAGTGCTGGAGAATTCTCGCTGAACAATGCTCCACAGTTGGGCAGACCAGTAGAAGTTGATAGTAATCAAATCAAGACATAAGAACAATCAACGTTAGACCATGCAGGAGACAGCCAACATACTCAAAATATCCAAATCGATAGTTGTTAGTGAAAATAGGTGTTTATTTTACAGAAAAAAAAATGACTTTTTGGCCAACCCATTATATTCACATGGTTGTACCTCTATACCTATTAATTCCAGCGCATTTCCATCACTCAACAAGAAACACCAGACTTGTATGTACTCTCCCACCCCCTCCGATTTTGGATATTTCTTACCAGTGAAATTGTATACATGGTCTTTTTTTATCTGACTGGTCTTGGCACCTTTGGCAAACATCATTTGACCACATGTATATGCGTTTCTTTATAGAATTTCGATTTGATTGATCTATATATTTATCTTTATGCCAGTACCACACCTCAATTACTACAACTTTGGCGAAAGATTGGATTTCAGGAAATTGAGTCCTCCAACTGTGTCCTCTTGTTTCCAAGACTGTATTGCCTATTCTGTGTCCTTTGAATTTTCAAATGAATTTTAGGATCAGAATGTTCATTTTTGAAAAATGAAGGTACAATTTTGATAGAGATTGCATTGGTTCTATATATCAATTTTCAGAGCATTGCTATCTTAGCAATATTTTGTCTTCCATTCCATGAGAACAGGATGCCTTTTTATTTAGGTCTTAATTTCTTCTGTGGTATTTGATAGTTTTAGTGTACAATCGGCACTTGTTGGGGTACATTTGTTCCTATATTCTTTTTAATGCTATTTTAAGTGGAATTGTCTTTTCAGATTTTTTCATGTGTAGAAGTACAAGTGATTTTGTACTATTTTCTTGTATCCTGCAACCTTGCTGATTTCATTTATTAGTTCTAATGGTTTCTGAGTATTCTTTAGGGGTTTCCTATATGTAATGTCACATTACCTCCCTTGTTCCCCATCGTTGAAGAAAACCCTTCGGTTCTTTCACCATTAAGTATGGTTATCAGCTGTGTTTTTCAGATGCCCTTAATCAGCATGAGAAATTTCCCTTCTATTCCAAGTCTGTTGAGTGTTCATATCATGAAAAGGCGTTGGCTTTTGTCAAATAACTTTTGTTTCTATTGAGATGAACCATGTTTTCTTCTTTGTGCTATTAATATGATGTATTACATTGACTGATATTCCTGTTGAATCAAATGTGCATTCCTCGCATAAGATTTAGATTGGTCCTGGCATACAACCATTTTTACAAGTGACTTGATTTTGCATCTATATTCATGAGGGATACTGGTCTATAGTTTCCTTTCATTGGCTTTGGTATGAGGCTAATAGTAGCCATCAAGAATGAGTTAGGAAGCATTCCCTCCTTTTATTGGGGGGAAAAAAAAAGTAAGTAAAGACTGGTGTTAATCCTTTAAATGTTCAGCAGAATCCAATAGTGGAGCTAGCCATCTGGTCCTGGGTTTATCTTCGTTGGGAGTTTTCTGATAAGGAACTTAATCTCTTTGGTACAGTTCTGCTTAGATTTTCAATGTTTTCTTGATTCAGTTTTGGTTTTTTGAGTTCCTAGGAATTGGTCCATTTTGTTTAGGTTTTACAATTTATTAGGTAGTTGAACACAACTGTTCATACTGTTCTTTAAAAACTTATTTCTGCTAGGTTGGTATGTCTCCTGATCCACTACTGATCTTAGTAATTTCCGTCAACTTTTTTTTTTTTTTGGTTAGGTTAGCCAAAGGTTTGTTAATTTTGATTTTTTTAAAGGGGAAAAAAACTTTTGGTCTGCTATTCTCTATTGTTTTTCTGTTCTTCGCTTATGTCTGCTCTAAACTCTATTATTTCCTTTCCTCTGCTTTGTGGTTTAGTTTGCTATTATTTTTCTAGTTTTTAAAAGCAGTTTAGGTTATTAACTTGAAGTAATTCTTTTTAAAGCTATAAAGTTCCCTCTGAGAACTGCTTTCATTACATCCCATAAGTCATGTTGTCTTTTTCATTCATCTCAAAGTATTTTCAAATTTCCCTGTGATTTCATCTTTGACCCACTAGTTATTTAGGAGTATGTTGCTTAATTTCCATCTATTTGTGAATTTTCCAATTTATTTATTAATTTCTAATTTCATTCCATTTGTGGTCAGAGAACATACTTTGTATGATTTGCCTTTTAAAATGTATTGCAAGTTGTTTTGTGGCCTTTTTGTGGATAGTGTTCCAAGTGCACTTGAGAAAAATGTGTCTTCTGTTATTGGGTGGAGTGTTCTGAATATATGCATATGTTAGATCCAATCAGTCTATAATATGTTCAAGTCCTTACTAATCTGTCTTGTTCTTCTGTCTGTTATTCAAAGTGGGGTACTTAAGTCTCTAGCTATTATTGTTGAATTGTCTATTTCTCCCTTCAGTTCAGTAAAATCTTGCTTCATGGATTTTGGGACTCTATTGTTAATACAAACACATATATATCATATTCTCGCCAAAGGACCAATCTTTTACCTTTGTCTCAAGCAGGAAAAAAAAAAAAAAAAAAGGAAAAGAAAGATAGTTTTAAAGTCTATGGAGCTACTGTCTTTAGCTTTCTTTTGGTTACTGTTTGCATGGAATATCTTTCTCAACTCTTTTACTTTTAACCTATTTGTGTCTTTGAATCTAAAGGGAAGTCTTCTGTACTTAGCAAAGAGTTTGGACCAAGTTTTTAAATCCATTCTGCCAATCTCACTTAAATAGCATCTTTCTTTGATGCATCTTCAAAAAGCCCTAAGGCTGCAATGTGTATTTTGAAAAACCACTGATCTAATACATGCAGGAGTTACTCATGGAGGAAATAACCCAATTTTATTTCAGAATTCTGTCAGCAACTTGTCATGTGACCTAGAATGAGCTTGCTATCAGAACAACCACTTTCAAACTGGGAGACATTTGGGATATATTTATGGACCCTCTAGCATCCTGGTCTAACACCCATTGCATTAGTTAACACGCAACGTGGAAAGGTATCAACACTGGCACCCCGCTACCTGCAGTGGTCACGGTTAACTGCCTGCTCAAAGGTCACGCCTGCTCCACTGTGAGGTCAACACCAATTTGACTTCTAGTGCCTGCCCTTCTCCTCTTGGAAAAAGTGCACTGTGGCCAACCAAGGTGAACTAATCCTCCTTTCGACCGATGGGTTTAGAGGAATGAGAATGTGAGCCAGTTTTGGGGAGTGAGAAGTCAAGAGATGTCTTTCCTGACACTCTCCCGACCTCTGGACCTATTTTAAGAAATAATAAATCTCCCCATTACATTAGGTTTCCTGTTTGAGCCAGAAATTACACAACAGTTTAAGTATTTCTCAACAGAATCAAAAAATAAGATTAACTTTATGTTTTAGTATTTTATTCAAAGACTTCAGTTTTAAGCATCTGTAAGATAGTCATCAATCCATTATTATTTTACTTTTTTTTGTTTTTCAAGGAATATTTAATAAGGCAGATAATATATACTTTTCTAACATGTATGTTTATATTACAAAAGCTAACATCCTGTGCATTGGGTGAAAACAGCTTGCTTGTATACACCGAGCACAATTTTAAAAATACTGTAATTATAATTTCAGACTTTAGAATTTGAATAGGTGGTGCCAGCATTTTATTTTACTTTTAACATAAATTTAACATCAAATGGCAGAGGAAACATAAATATGTAATGAGACTACATTTCAGTGATATATCTTTGAATAGGGAAACCAAAAAAACTCACCGCCACCAAAACTCACCAACCAACCTAATTTATTAGGTATGCCTATGGGGTTTTTTTCCCTCCCCCTTCAAGTAATGTTTTGGGGAAAATTACATTTTCAAAGAATTGGCCCTTAAAAAGAGTAACTAATATTTCCAAAAATAAAATCCAGTATGGAGATTCTCAAAACTCCTAAAATCAAATGGAAATGTCTGCTCAAGTCAGTTTCACATCACAGGGAATAATCTATAACTAATTTCAGTAGGCAAATTCCAATCCTAAATGTAACTAGAGACTACCACTGTTATTCCCAACTGTGTTGACAATTGTCTTATTGCTGAATTGTACAGGATAAATTTTCTTTGGCAACTTTTTATACTATCATTGAACACAACTGGACAACTATAAAGGTTTGATTACCTTAGTATTTCAAAAATTTCAAAACTTCATTATAATTAAATGTAATTTCTTATAGATGCTAGAATAGGAAAGTCTCTAAACATGCCTAGTGTTACTATAACACAACAAAAAAGTTGCTAAGTAATCATTACTAAAAGCTTTTCAGTTGTATGTACAAGTATATAATTCAATTCAAACATCAGTGGAAATATTACGGTATTAGCTCCAATTCTCTGTCAGACTTTCTGTGATAAAGAACAAAAGTTAAATGTAGAAACTAACATCTGGCTATCTGTCAACTTTTCTGAAAGGCTGTTTCCAATGGATTCAAAATGACCTAAAGTAGTCAGATTATAATGTGAATTCTTACCACAATGCCACATAAAACTAAAGTATATTGGTAACTTAGTGATGTTTAATTCTGTTCTATGGAATAAGCCTATTTTAGAGGCTTGACACAATATTACCAAGAAATTTAAATGAAAAGCTCAAGTCACAGATGTGTAACTAAGAAACCTTTTCACATATAACAAAACCACCAACTTAAATTATAAATGGCTTCCACTAATTATTACCACGCAAAAATTCACACAAAGTCAATTAAAACAGATATGGCAGAAAGTGCTCTGAAGCATGTTCACATCACAAAGTGATGAAATTTAGCCAGCAAAAGTTCAAATAGGCATATATGCAAACATCTGTATGCAAACTTTCATGAGTAAGATAGAAAATGATTCATTTCAATAATTTTATGTACAGCTTGTATATAATTTAAAACAAGTACAACTGAAATTTTTCTATGTAAAAGCCACAGTAAAATCAAATAAAATACTAAATAACAGTCTTACAAACTGGTCTCTCTTAGGAGAATAATAACTGAGAAAGGCTATTCTAAGAAATGCCCTCTTCTTGATCAATCATTTCTGTTTTAACTGAAAAGACATCCGCCAGCATATGTTTCGGAATTTCTGAACCTCTAACTTTCAAGGCATAACAAGCATTCTCCACTTTGGCCAGACTCTGCTTCAAGGTATACAGCTTCTTAGAAACCTCGTACGGTCCAGTATTGCCGATGAATGAAAAGCCGTCATAAACCTGCCGTAAAAACTGGCTCACTTCAAAGGGGGTGTCAATGTCCCCGTTCCCCACACTGTTGATACACATCCGCATCAACTCCCCCGTTAAATCGGCCACTCCCAGGAGGTAATCGACAGGCGTGATCTTCAGTTCCCATGAATCAAACTGCTTCTCCTCCACATCAGCTGAGGGCTGGTGAAAAAACACACACACACACACAGAAAATTACACTGTGAAACGGAGTGAATATGCATGTATCACATTTACTTTAAGGTACAAACTCAACAGCAGATCAACCATACTAATCTCTAAATAAAATGATCTATTTTGCTTAATGACCATCTGTGATGTTACAAGAAGAATCCATGCCTTGGGCAGGGGGTTGAGTTAAATTAGTTCAAGACAATCTTGAAATCTAACACTGTATCATTATAAAATCAATTATTTCCAACTTCATTTGACATACAAAATAAAACATTCTTAACCAAGGCCCAGTTACTTTATTGCATGACAAGCACTTCCTCATCTGAATGACAAATCTCAAAGCCCTCCAAGTTTGTGATCAATGCCTGTTTTCCTAAGCCAAGCGGTCCCTTTCTGGCCTCTCTTCTGTCCCTACTGTGCACTGACCGTCCTCATTTATTACTCTCTGCCTACATCCTCCTCAGCTCCTTTAGACTCCTGTTCTTCTACTGCATCCAGCAAAAGCACCAGCCTGAATCAATATTAAAACCTATTTTTGTTAGTCCTTTACTTAAGTGGTTGTGTACCACTAAGCTGAAAATATAATAATTACATCTATACAGTCTGTACCACTACAAATTACTCACCAATCCTTTTACTTATTCTTAAATGGTCCTCTCTCCAGTCTCCTTAAACACTATTCCAACCTTCATTACTCTCCTCAGCCCCCTACTCAATCCCAAGCCTCTTCACTCTCAGTAGACAATCCTGCCTACTTTCAATGGCCGCATCGTCTGCCAGATCACCTAGCACAAGCTCTCTCAATTACCTTATGCCTATGAAAAAAAAACAACAAAAACAAAAAAACTTATGTCCACATCCATCTTTACCTTCTATCCTCCAGTCTCAGATGATGAGTTGTCCCTCCTCTTGTTTGAGGTTAACTCTTCCAAATGACCTTGACCCATCTCCTCCCACCTCTTCCAGGACCTTGCTTCATAAGGTGTATGCCCTTGGGCAAGTTATTTCATCTCTCTAAACCTCAGTTTCCTCATCTGTAAAATGGGATAACAGTACCTACCTCAGAGGTTTATTTCAAGGATAACATTTACCAAGTTCTTGGCATCATGCCCAACACAAAGTAAATACTCAATAAATGTCACCGTTACCATCATCATGTAAACCTCCTCTCTCCACATCGATTTCTCTCTATATATTGGATTCTTTCTGGAAGAGGTAACGCTTAGCTTGTTATTAAGAGTCTGTATGAGTCTCAGCTGAGAGTGCAGTTACACCGGAGGCTGTTTGAGGAGCGGACCTAGCTGCAAAGGCATGCAGGTAAGACCTGGATTGTACAGTTGAGGAACTAGCAAGCGATTTCTTTCAAGTAAAGTTTAAAATAAGAATTAGTACAGGATGAATCTAGGAGAGGACTATAAAGTGACAATAAGGAACGTGAACTTTATAGATAACAGAGTCACTGAGAATTAAGCAAGGAAATGACAGTCAAATTTGGCTGTTGTTAAGATCACTCAACACTGTTGGTTCAATCTTCTGAATATCAAGTATGAGAGATGGGGTTCAAGAAACCCCAGAGGGAGCATAGCGAGTTAATGACAGGGCTGGGTGCACATCCAAAGCCAGCTTCCCAATCCCCCTGATGCCTCTGAAATCACATCATGACATAAAATATCTGCTCTGTTTTGTTCCTATGAACTGTTGGAGAACTGGCTTGTTTTTTTTTTTTTAAATTGATTTGAGAGAGAGTGAGAGAGAGAAACATCAATTTGCTGTTTCACTTATTTACACATTCATTGGTTGACTCTTGTGTGTGCCCTGACTAGAGAACCTGCAACCCTGGCGTACTGGGGAAACGTTCTCAACGGCCGAGCTACTCGGCCAGGTACCCGGCATCTTTGTATAAAGGGTACCCCGGTTGTCCTAAGGGAATAAGGGCTGCATTTTACAGGTCCCTTAAGAAATAACTTTTGATTAAAATATTAATGTTTTTATTTCTATCATGAGACAGAAGGAACTCCCTGATCATAACTAAGAAGTTGATTTTTGGAGGAGAAAGGCATGTTAAAAAATTAACAAATTGCAACAAAAAGCAAGGAAATCAATTCTGTTTTACTGACTGATAATGGAAACTCAGAAAAAGAAAGCTACTTAAAATGTAGGTTTTCACGATGGATCTGAAGCATTTAGGGATAAAATATCATCAGATCTGTAATTTACTGTGGCTTAGCAAAAAATATTGAGATGAAGTAAATATGGCAAAATGTTGAAAATTAATGAATCCAGGTCGCTGGTACATGGGTGTTCATGTATTACTGTCTTTTCTTCTTTTCTGTATGTTTGAAATTTTTCATAATAAAATTTTAAAAAATTAAATGGTTTTCACAATATTCAACAGGAACATCAGAGCAAAATGTCTTCATCTCTTGAATTCCCAGAATTTTCAGCATCAAGAATCTTTAGCACTAAAAGGAAAAATTATTCATAACTGTGATCTTAACAATTTGAAAAGTGTATACGAATACTATGACACCACAGTCTTAGAATAATTTACTACCGAAATCCTGAACACTGTGCACTTACTCTTGGTTCCTCTTCACTGTCCGCCCTGATATTTCTACTATGAATTAGAGAGCTTTGTGAAAGGAAGTTGTGGTAACTTCACTAAACGATTACGAAGAAATTTTACTTCCCAAAACGAATTTCCTCCTTAATGAACTTCACATCATTTTAAAAATTGAGAAAATACATAGTAAGTTCCTTCAAGTAAGATTGTATCTGTCATGCCAAAATAAGTCTCAATTTTCAATATTAACATTTTAGTTAACATTCAAGAAAGCACTATTTCCATATCTTCTTCCATCTTCTGTCTCCCTAATTTTTAAATAATAAAATAAAGGGAAAAAAAGATGAAAAATAAAAGAAAAAATTTAATCTTATCTTTAAGTATACAGGTATCTCAGGAAATAGCAAATATTCAAAATCTTACCTCGTTGTCTAAATATTCTATCTTGAAACCCAGGGGAAAATAGTATTTATTTAAAAGTCAAAACTGCAAAAGTTTTTCCTTTCTTAATTCAGAAAAGCTATACAGTTTTCAAATACGAGCATCAGGAACTGAGTGACTAATAGGTCTCACCGTATAACATCTTCATATGAACTTTTATAATGACAGCTACCGACAGAGGACTTACATGCGGTGTGCCACACGCTGCCCACTCCAAAACCTTTACCTCAGGCCCTCACACACCCCTGCGGGCAGCCTCCGGGCACAGGGCCCCCGGGGCACACTCCGACCAGCACTGGCAGAGTGGACAGGGCACCGGTTTGGATTCGGGACACCTGGTTTCAAAGCGGGGCTGCCACCTTATTGGCTGCGTGGCTTTTGACAGTTACTCAAACTCTCTAAAAACCTGTTTCCGTCCTTGTAACATGAGGGTGATCGTTCTTGCCTAGGTTAACAGAAGGATGAAATGAGACAGTGCTTATAAAGGACATACAGTAGATACACAGTAAAGCCAAAATGAACTTACAGTAATCACTCAGTAAAGCTTTAGGTAAAGAGTATTACTCTCTCTCAACATACCCACAGTCGTTCTGTTCTACCCACTAACTAAAATACTCAAAAAGGCCATTTCCCTGACTGGGAATCTATGAAACCACACTTTAGAAAGAACATTTCCATCTCAGTATTCCTACCACTAGTAAATCTCCTACAATCATTATACTGTTATATAAACGATGGAATAAATATGAAATAAGGTTTTAAACTCTTACGGTCTTATTTTCTTTCCCACTGTCTTCTGTTGTAAATATCAACTGTTTATTAATTTCATCCATACTGATAAGTGATCGTGTTTTGATAAAGTGTTGAAAAGAGACAGCTTCCACATATTCCTGTAGTCCTGAAAAACCAACCAAGAAAATGACTAAGAAACAACCATTACATAATAAGAATGTGAAAATAAAAAACTTCAAATGGAGTTTTTTGCTAGGGGATGCCCTAGCTAAACAAAAGCCTAGTGGATGCAAACTATAACATGAGCTCTAGATTTGATGCTTAGAAAACAAAGAATCGCCTGTGAATGCACAGGGCGGCCCAGCACTGAACAGAGCAGCACTTCTGGGACCGAACCGCATACAGACAGCTCGAATATAAACGTATTCGGTTTCTTCTTTTGTGAGTCATTAGTTTTAAAAACCTACTCTCTTTCCTACAGAGAAATGTCAAAGTTTCTTAGAAAAAAAATTTAAGAATTTAAAAAAAGGCTTTATAAAAATCCTGACAGGCTTTAACAGAAACTATACAGATTATGTCTTTCTCCTGTAAGCAGCAATATAGATAATCAACTGAGACACAATTAAAGATCACTTTGATCTTTCTTAAAATGTTATTAAGTAAAAACCACTTTAAACAATGCAGATAAAAGTGTGAAAATACAAAATACTGTACAGATGATAAATTATAGAATTGTACACCTGAACCCTATATAATTCTATTAACTCAGGCCACCTCAATAAATTCAACAAAAATTTAAAAAGAAAAAAAGGAAATTCTATGAAATTCACATTGAATTAAAAATTTGTTAAAAGTCAAAAATTGTACTGTAAATACCTTTTCAAATATTTTAAAACAACTAAATTCTACAGCCACAATTTTCAATATTATTTTCTTATATTGTAACCTGTAAGTTGATACAGGGAAAAAGCATCTTTTAAATGAGTATCATTTTTGTCAGGTTAAGAAACTGCCTTAGTCTTCTTTTTGAAGGCTTTACTGTAAACACACGAATTCTGATTATAGAAAGAAAATCCGTAACTTCATCTAGAATCATCAGGATTTGTCTCCGTAACACTGCATGCGACGAAGTCCACCAAACGACGCCCTAGGGACTGACACAGAAAATCAGGCTACAGCCCTGACTAGGGTGAGCTCAGGGGGTTGGACGGCACCCTGCAAACCAGAAGTTAGTGGGTTCAATTCCCAGTCGGGGCACATGCCTGGGCTGCAGGCCAGGTCCCTGGCTGGGGGTGTGTTAGAGGATCGATGTTTCCCTCCCCTCCCCCTCTCAAATAAAATCTTTAAAAAAAAAAAAATTCAGACTAGACAGCCATAGTGTTGAGGAGGCTGACCACTGCGGTATGGTCACATCAAACGCCACACAAGGTCAAAGGCAAAAAGAGAAATGGATGATCTGGTTTTGCAGCAATAAGAGGAAACAACTAAATGAAAATATCCTGACCAATTTTGAGCTGCTGCTGATGATAAAGATCAGAAACTAGATGCCTTCAGCTGATAGAATAGGACGTGATAGAAAAGGACACTTTCATAAACCTCAACATGCTGAGAAATGAAATAATAAAGTTGAGTTTAACAAGTCAGATAACATCTTCTACATTTTCAATAAAAATATTTGCAATTTTAGTTTTATGAATAGATGACTACCCAGTTCCCTTCCCTAAAGACAATCTATATTTCTCACTTCCTTCCAGAAATAATTCACACGCACGAAAGCAAACAGCAAAACTCAAGGACATCTCTAAATTACGTTCTAGTGTGCTTATTAGCTCTTATGAAAGAGCTGAACAAGATGTGCGTGCCAGTATGCACAAGAACATTCATCATTACAATCATTAAAGCGTAAACTGGAAAAAAATAAAAAGAAATATCAGTAACAAATGTGCCACCTGACAACTTATTGTCCCTCCGTTCCACTATTTCGACAATGGATGTGGATCCTCAAGTGTTCCTCTTCTGTCAGCTGGCACGTCACACTTTGCCGGGGGAGGGCCCTGGAAGGCCCGCACAGGAGGAGAGCGCGCCTCCCCGGCTCTGGGGTGCACACCCACCCCAGCGGCCCTCTGCGGGGGGACTAGCTGCTCAAGGCGGTGAGTGCCATTGGCGTCTCCATGGGGGCGGCTCCCAGCTTGTCTCTGCGCTTTATTTCAACTTAGTCTGTGGCTTCTCATATACATGCTTTCATGATCCCATGCTATTCTGCCCCTAGGGCGACCTCTCTCAAATCTTTTTCTACCAGTAAAAAGAGTTTAGATGTTTTGATACACTCCAATTAAGGCAGCACCCTCTCTACCCACTATGTAAAACTTGTACTTTAATTATGTTCCAGTTGGCTTTGTATAATCACCCATTTTGCACCCTAGAACTTTGGAGGGCACAGATCATGCCTTTACAGCTCTGCTCCTTCCCCCATCCCCAAGGACAGCCCTTCATACATAGAAAAGACTCCAGTGTTTAGCAGATCGCTTATAACCATCCCGATTTCTCCTAATTTTTTAAAACTCAAAGTGTTTTGACAAAAATATTTTAAAATCTGGTATTCCAATGTCCAGAACAATCTCACTGTAATCCACTATGAAAGAAACACTCCTACAAGATTGAGGTTCAAATTGATGGCATCCGGAATCAGAGGGCCACCTGACTTGTTCCGCAGAGGGAAGAAAAGGGCCTATGGAACAAGAACGCTCAAATCTCATCTGTGCTGCCAACCTCTATTAATGTCGGTGGCTATCAAATATTACATTTGCAAAGACACCGAAAGTCACTACTTAAGTTGTCTTTGGGATGTGTTTGATTCAAGTTACTTCGGAGATGAAGTGGCCATTTCTACTCCATAGAAATTAGGTTTCATGATATACCATAGAGAAAGTTCAAGGACATCTGGCCCCAAACATTGAAAAGCATTTTTGGTCACATTTAGGTAAAAGGATGTTTAAACAAGCTATGTTTCAACTTGATGAAAAGGACATCCGCAATTTTCAGTGAATAGTCCCCAAGGTGAAAAATGTCAACCTACTGCCATATCCCATCAAACAATGCCTTCCCCTTCTGCTTTTGCCTTGGCCTAAATCCAATCAGAATTATTTACAGACACAGCTGCCAGTAAGAGACAAGTTTGCAGGTTGCTTTTATGTAATGTTATTTTTCTCCTTGTTCTTCTATTAGAACATATACATGGAAACCCAATGAAAAGTTCCTGATTATTTTTACTTATTCTTATAATATTTAAGCAATATACATCTAATCCAAAACTCCATCAAACACCATACATGAAGGCGAACGGACAAGAGGTTTCATTATAAATTCACATTTCATGTCTCCACTTTCTTTCCAGGCTTTCAGTGTTTTAAACAACTGTCTGCCGTCCACCCCCAACAATTCCATGCCCAGGCATGTACCAAAGAACCTGTATGCCCACAGAGATGTGCAGGCAGACGTTCGCTCACAGCAGCATTGCTCACCATAGCCAAAATGGTGGAAACCACCCAAATGTCTCTCAGCTGACGAACAGATAACCAAAATGTGGTACAGATGTACAATGGAACAAGATTCAGCCATAAAAAGAGATAAAGCACTGATACATGCTATGACATAGGCGAACCCGAAAATATTATGCTGAGTGAAAGAAACCAGGCACAGAAGGCCATCCTGCATGGCTCTGTGTGCGTGAGATGTTCCAGAACAGGAAGTTCCGTGGGAGGTAGGTTAGTGGTTGCTTAGGGTTAGGGTATTAGGGTTCAGGAAGGGAAATACGGAGTGGCTGCTAAACGGATGAGAGGTTTACTTCGGGGTGATAAACATACCCTGGAATTAGGTAGTGGTGGTAGCTGGGTATCAAGGCTAACAACCTCACAACTATACTAAAAACCACTGAATTATGTAATTTAAAAGTTAATTTTATGTTATGTAAATTATCTCAATTTTTAAAAATTGCATTTTTTAACAATTTGTAAGACTACCACCTGGCATTTTTCAAAAGCTGGCTTTACCAGACCATGAAACGTTAACGTAAAATAGCATCTATGTTTGATTCGTAAGTCACCCCAATAAAAATCTATTATCAAATAAACGGTATGTTGAAAATAAGCATATCTATATGCCTTAGTCTTGTGCAGTATGAAAAGTTCTATTACCCATAGCAAAACTAAATTCAATTCCACCAACCTGCATTTTGCCTACTTTGGATTTTGTCTACCTGAGCAGCGCTTTTACTTTAGCCCTGAAGACTGTATATTGAACACATCGGCATTACTGGCTTGTCCTCCAAAACGAAAACAGAATTTAACACACATGTTAATAATTCTGCTAAATTCCAGAAGGGAAGAAAACAAAACACTTGTAAACCTGTGCCAAACAAAGTAAGAAATACCCCCCATAACCATATTATATTTAATTTTCAGAACCCACGAGATTGCTATTACTGTTCCCGTCTTACAGGGAAGAAAGCTGAAACTCAAACAGGTTGTGAGCTTGGTTCCAAGGTCATACAGTTAAGGCTATCAAAGCAAACATCGAAACCGGGGCCTGATAGCAAAGCCTCTCTTTCCACTTCCCCTCACCGAGCAGGTTTCATCCACGGCAAGCACGCGCGACTGAGTTCAGACGTTAACAGCCCTGTGGAAAATCTTCTGAATCCCCCAGCGTGACTCTGAACACCGAGGCCGCACACTCGCTCCCCATTTACTTCATCGCTGCACGAGCAGCCCCTTCACCAGCGCCCCTCTGCACTGTCAGCTCTGTCTACGCCCTGGGAGTGAGTTGCAGAGTTTGGGGTTGTTTTTACATTGTATTTATTTATTTTTAGAGAGAGGGGAAGGGAGGAAGAGAAACATCGATTGGTTGCCTCTTGAACGTGCCCTGACTGGGCACCAAACCTGCAACCCAGGCCTGTGCCCTGACCAGAGCTTGAACCAGTGGCCCTTCGCTTCACAGTCAGGCACTCAGTCCACTGAGCCACACCAGCCAGGGCCAAAATATTCTTAACAGGAATATAAGTTATTACATATTTCAATATAAGCCCCAATTTTTAAATACTTCTTTTCTTCTGTTACATTGTTACAATTATAAAACTCCTTAGCAAGTAACATAAGATACAGCATAAATTCT